TTTTTTTTTTTTTTGTGGTGTGTCCTTCTCCTGCAGGCTTACTTTGTTATTTATATTTTTTCTTCTCCCTGTTGTTTGCTTTCTAATTAGTTCTATGCATTGGGACATTGTGCAACTGGTGTTGGCTATCATTTCTTTGGAGTGCTCCTTTAGGGGTGTCAGAAACTGATTACCAGACTGAGATCCGCACTGGTTGGCTAAAACTCCACCAGGGTATTGATGCTGTGTTGCTGGGCACTGTCCCTTACAGTTCCCTCCCTCTGTATTTACTCAATTCCAACAGGGAATCAGCTAGTTGGTGACTTTGTTCTGGTCATGAGGTGGTGCCAGAGACCCATACTTGCTGTCCTGTGCTTTTTCCCAGTGGTTCTCTGAGAAACAGAGGGGAGTGGTGGAGGGGAGTACTTCAACACAGGGCGCTGTGTCTGCCCCATGTTCACCTGGTGCTGTGCCTGCAGCTGTATGGATCCCGCACCCTGCATTCTGCACTCTAGGTCTCAGTTTCAGATCTATCAGATTCAAAATGCTAGCTGTCACCCTGTACAGTGCCCACTGTTATGGAGCTTCCCACACCCCAGATCCTGCTCCTGGCTCTCAGTTCCAGAATGGGGTCTTGCTCTATGCCTTATTTCCCTTCTTACCCCCTTTTGCATGGCCCACCCTCTCTCAGAGCCCGAGGGTGTTTTGGGAATCCCTCGTTTCCAACTATTAGGATGTTGGTGATTTTGTTCTGGTCGCTAGGTGGCACCAGATATCTTTCCTAGTGTCCTTCCAGAACTGTTTTTTTCCCCATGGGTCCGGGGAACAGAGTGGGGTGGCATGGAGCACCTCAACGGCATGAGGTGCTGTGTCTGCCCTGTGCCCCGCCTTCGTGGGGATCCCACACCCCGAATTTTGTGCCCTGGGTCTCAGTTCTGAAGCCCTCAGAAACAAAACGCGGGCTGTAGCCCAGTTCAGTGTCCGCAGAAATGGCGCCTTTTGCACCCATCTCCAATGTCTGGGAGCCTGGTTTCTGATTACTCAGTGAGGGACATTCACCTCAGTGAGGGCTCCCGTGTGTCTCCCCACAAACCTAGGTCGTGGGCACAGAGACCTGAGCAGCTGCGATCTGCGTATGCTTTTTGAGCGCACTGCTTTTCTGCACAAGCTTACTGGCTGGTCTTGGGCTATTTGCAGGTCTCTCCGCGGAGTCCTTGTTTTCCTCTAATGGCATCCGGAGCAGTTCGCTAACCTCTGTGGCAATTCCTGCAAGGTTCTCCACAGCTCTCATTGGCAGGGTGTGGTGCCTACAATAGTTCCTTTCCACTCACAGTCCCCCTTGATGTGTAGTTTGTTCTCATTGTTGTTTTTTAATTTCTGTTGGTCGGAGTGTACCGGCATTGTGGGAAGGGGAAGGTAGCAGGGTTCTGAGCTTTCCTCCCTTTTAGTCTTCTTTCATGGCCTTATTTTTATATTAATCATGTATATATTATCCTCTCCTACTATGGTATCTCTCTTTCATTTGAGATCCATATTTTTATCTGTTTATCCCAAGAGCTATGCCCAAATCAAGTTTACCGCCTTGCCTAAATGAAACTGCTCTCCTGTGTTATCTCAGCAACAGCCTTTATTTTTTTTTAAGATTTTATTTATTAATTTATATAAGAACTGGGGTACAGGCCATATGCACGGGAGGGTGAGAGGATTCACCAGAAACAGAATGGGGAACAGAACAGGCAGATTGATGAAATACACTGCTGAGGGGAGCAGCGGGCACCACAGGAGAGGTCTGCTTCACCACGTGGGACCCTCGCTGGCTGGCCGGGATGGAACCAGCACTGCAGAGGCTGCGGACAGCTTCACAGTGCTGTGCTCAACTGCCTGTGCCACCAGGGGAGGCCCAGCAACAGCCTTTACTTTCCATAAAAGCCATGCACCAAACTCTAGGATCATCAACAAGGATGCATTGGTCAAAGTTAATTTAGGCAGGAAAATAGATGCCACAGCAGGTATTTTAAACAGAAATATGTAATATAGAGGATAGATTATAGAGGTGTTGGGAAGATTGTGAGGGAAGGAAGGAGGAAGAGTGGGAACAAAGAGAAAAAGAGAGAAAAGCAGTGAGACCTGCAGAAACCATCTATAGCATCCCTAAGATTAAGAAAACAAAGGGAAAGGGGCTGAGACTATTATAACCTAGAATCTCAGTCAGAAGTAGCTCCAAGAATTGGGGCCCTGTCTCCTGAGAAGGGGGGCACTGACTAGCTGACCGGTACCTCTGAGAAGATTCAGTGAGAGCACTAAAAGCAGCTAGAATCTGGAACCTACCATGCTGCCTAGTAAAGTGTCATTTGTGATTTCTCAGTCACTTCGGGGGAGAACAAAACTGAATGAGGGATTCCTTTTTGCTGGTCTCTAGCATTCTTTGAGTGATTCTTTGTGGTAGAAGCTTCCAGAAAGTCAGGTACTGGGAAAGATGTGTAATTTCAGAAGTTTAGGATAAGAATCATAGAAATAAAAGGTGGATTTAGAACTGAGAAATAACAGCTTTCACCTCCAATGCTCACCAATTCCTTCCAGTGCTCCTTCTGACAGCACGCTAGAATCCTGGCCTCTTCATTTCTTGCCAACACACCCTTGGTGTAGGTTCCCATCATCACTTATCCAGACTATCCAGATATGTTGCTACTTGTGTCTCTCCTTCCTCCTCCAAATCCACCCTTCACACCTAGACTGCGGGTACTTTTCTGATAACCATGATCATGTTACAGCCTTTTGAACACCTTTCCGAATCTCTTCCAAATCTCTTACAGTTCTTTCTCTGTACTGACATATTTGGCTCTGGGGAATGTAAAATATATTTTGCTGCATCTCCATTCAGGGAACTCTTTGAAACAAAGTTATTCCATCTAGAAAGAGAAAATAACTTTCCCACAAAACTTGCCCACATTCTTTATTCTAGCTTTCTGCCTTCCCTGAGCATCTATTATGTGCCAGGCTTGAAAATTTTATATTTCACTTTGTAAGCCTGCTGCCTTTACTAAATACAAATGGCAAGGACAGGTTTTATGTAAACTTTTTGTACTCATGGTATTCATGGTATGTAGTAGATGCTACAAGTTATTTGTTGAATGGATGAATGATCAATCCGCTTATCTAATAAAAAAAAAAAAATAGGGCCTCATTGGTGGCACAGGGGTTAAAGATACAGCACTATCAACCCATAGCCAGCCACTGCAGCACAAGTTCCATCCTCTGCCGGCCAGGGAGCTAACCTACATGGCACAGCAGACCTCTCCTGTCTTGCTCACTGCTCCCCTCAGCAGTGTGTTTCAGTAGATCTGCCTGTTCTGCTCTCCAACTCTGTCTCTGATGAATCCTCTCACCTCTCCCATACTTCTGGCCTGCACCCAAGTTCTTGTATGCATAAATAAATAAACCTTAAAAAAAATAGCTATTTGATTTCTTGTCCTGCTGGGTTTGCATGTTTGTCCACACAGAAGTTTCCAGGAGATCGGGATCAACAACACTTAAAGAAGAGGGGTAAAAGAGGTCAATTGTAAGATGAAACATGGATACTAGTCTTTTGGGGATGAGCATGCTGTAGTGTATAAAAACACTGAACTACAATGTTAAATGCTTGACACTTGCATTTTATAAACTAAAGTTACATTTTAAAAAAGGCCCTGAGATCTACAGTGCATGTGTCCTCAGGGCCGTGGGCAAGCAGTACAGCAGAGGCTGTATGACTCAAAAGAAGTTAGCTTGCGTTTCACCAGAGTGAATGAGTTTTGGGAGAAAACTGACGTTAAAGCAAGGGTTTGAAGGTAGGCTACTGGAGTAACTCACCCTTCTTATATTCTCCCCTCTTTTCAGAAACCTGAAATTAGCCTGTCCCTCCCTGTAGCCCCTGCCTCCTCTTCATTTCCACCTCCTCAATTTTAAACACTGTGCTTTTGAAGAAACGTAGGGCAGTTCCAGCTGCAGGCACTAAATCATTGCTGTACTTTGGACATGTGTTGCGGAAGGGAGTCCTGTGATGAATGGGGCTGTCCGTATTTACATTGGGTGCACAACAGCTGTGGGGATCGTCTTGTGTAATGAGTATTCTGGGCAAACTTGGCATGCCCCACCCTACCACCACCTCCCCCACCTCCTCCTCATCCAGTGACGGTGACTGATTGGCCACTTTGAAGAAGAACTGCCCTTTAGAACAAAGGAATCACAATGTCCCCTCTTGTAGAAACACATGCACACATCTGCTCACACGATTCACACACACACAACAGCTCACTTTCAATCTGTCAGGGCCAACATTCTTTTTGGCAATTTCATATTTCCCTGGATAACCTTGCAAACAACAAAACTGCTCAAGTGTAGGCAGGTGGAACAAGAAGAACAAGTTCTGTCTTTTGAAAAAATCTCCTTATGTGGCTGCAAAGACAGACTGCACTGGTCATCCCCAAACTGATGGCCCAAAGCAACTTGTGTCAAATACAGGTCATGCTAAAGGCTCATGGAACCAAGCATTTTGCATGTAGGCAATTCACCTTCCACATAATGTTGACTTGAGTTCCAGTGTCAAAGAGAGAAAAAGAAGAAAGTGGAATGCAGATGGCAAAAATCTATTGCACTTATGTGGTTCTTTACAGTTTGTAACAGAAACCATTTCCTTTCACTCTCCAATGATAAGCTTTTCATGACTCACTGATAGGAGTGTATGAGAGAGAGAGAAACCATGTGTGTGTGTCTGTTGTGGAAGAGAGAGTGGCATATAGAATGTTATTTGTTTAGTATCAGAAAGTTGCACTGATTCAATTACCTACAATCTTTTATATGTAGAATATACATCTATATGTAGAATAGACACAATAATTATATCATGATTGTAATGTTCCCATGGGTAAATTGCTTTATTCCATGGGTAAGTTGCTTTATTTCAACCCATATTCTGCTTTTGATTGTGTAACCAAAGAATCATTGAATTCACAAGAGTAATTCCAAGTTTTCAGCTTATTCTCCAAGAATTAAAATTTATTTTTCTTAGATCATATATTTGCTTTGCTACTCTTAGATTTCTCCTTCATATGTTCCAACCAGTTCAGAAACACTTCCTGTGATATGTAACAAAGTGGTACAGAGCCTAATATAATCATTTCCAAACCACACTTCATCAAATCCTCATGTGTCATTGAGGTCTTGCAGGGTTTCAAGGCACCTAGGAACAAGACAGAGGAAAAGACCAAACTGACTAGAGCAGCCTCCAACCCCGTTTATGCTCCCACATAAGATTTTGGTTCACAATATGTCCCAAACTAACAAAAAAAACAACAATAAAAATGCTGAAAACCACTTAATGGATTTGAGGCTTAGTTCTCTACTAGAAATCTGTTCTTGAACAAATAACTATAGACCCTGTGCCTCCTTTCCCAGCAGTCAAAGGAAGATAACAATAATCCCTACATCAGAGAGTTGGTATTAAGGCCCCAGTGCTGAAATACCTTGGAGAAACCATACTTTATAAGTTGTAAGACACTGACAAAGCTAAGAATATGTTAGCATTATTAAATCTGTTCTAAAATGACTGCTTTTCCTTCCGTCTACCCTTATATCACTACTGCCAAAATCAAGACCATCAGGACTTGTTCTGAACTCTGTGAAGGAGCCATGCCCATCCTCTGGCCACACTGTTTGCCCAGCAACCACACCCACCCTGAACTTTAGTCAAATACACAAGAATGTAGAGTAGGGGAATGGCCTAGGACCAGGGGCAGGTTTTAGTTCTATGATTTATGTATTCTATAACCTTAAGAAAGCTTAATCCAGCAGTTTTCTCATGTGTGAAAGTATGAATTCCCCTGCATAAAATTACTATGAGGACTATATGACAGAATGAATGCAATGAGCTTGGTACCAAGCTGTAAGTTAATAAATTGTCTTTTAATTTGTATTTGTTATTTTCTTTTGGATAAGTTGCATGACAATAAAAAAAAAACAGACAGTTTTACTAAAATGCAGAGACACTAACAATATGGAAAATAATAAGGGTTGGATTCCATCTTTCAATAGCTTCGGGGAAAAGAGGATTAACGGGTTTTTTTTCATGGCTGAATATTTTATGCCTTAATATCACTAATATCAGAGGAAGAGGTTTTATGCCTTTCCCAAACCTACTCAACATTCAAACACATAGCTACTCGAAGACTCCACAGCTGCTCAATGACGCAAGAGTTAAAAGGTCCTTTAGAACTTTCTTTGACGAAAGCCTTATCTTTATCCGCTCTAACCAACATGATGTAGCCACTAGTCAGATGTGGCTGTTGAAAAGTGTCCTGTGTGACTAAGATATTGAGCTTAAATTATTCAAATAATTTAATTTCTAACTTATATTAAATTTAAATAGCCACATGTGACCAGTGGACACCACACTGGACAACACAGATGTACAGAGCAGAATTTCAGGAGACATACTTTGGAACACGTTGGGGTAGTACCAACAGCTGGACAAACAGTCAGATGCTAGCAGGGCCAAAGGAAGCAGGGGTAGCAGAGATCTTTGCTTTACTCAGGGAAGGAAAAGTCAAGAATGACACCTGTTAGTTTACTGAGAAACTACTGAAGCTAAAGCTTCAGAGTCATTCGTTTGCATGGGCCCATCTTAGGTCCTGGGAATTTTTCACATGGTCATATATTTTATTGTAAAATTTCAGGAGTAAAGTATCTTAACCCTATTAATTAAAATTGCTCTTTCTACTGTTACTTCATTAGGCAATGTTTTCTCTCATGTTGGTGCGTGATAGTGCACAGCCAAGAATATTTCTGGAGTGTACATAACAAGCTGATTCAGTATTTGGGTCTAAATGAAAAATATTTTCACAGTTCAGAGTCACTGTGCACAGGTAAGTTAGTTCTAGTCTTTCCAGTATATCAACGGCTTTTAGTAATATTTCTAATGTTATAACATAAAAAATGTAATAAAATCTAAAATGTGTTAAAATTATACAATTCATACATAAAGCAAACTTTCTATAGATTTCCACAAATTTGACCACAATTTTTAAACATTTATATATTTCAATGATCAATGAAGTCCATTAGAAATTCCTAAGTTATCTTTAATGAAGAAAATATGTTTTAGTCAAATCAGCAGAGAAAAGATAAAATTACCTCTTATTCTCACTTCAGAGATTATTACAGAAGCATTTTCATAGGAAGGCATGATCATATGAAGCCAAAAGAAAAATGAAATCTAAGGTAAAAATTCTTTCATATCAAAAAGTTAAGTATTTTCTAGGGGAAAAAAAAAAAGTGTTTTCTACATTTGGAGGCTTTAAAACTGAGTTTGAGTTCTTTCTTTTCTGACTAAATATTTTAATCCTTTATTTTGTTTTTAATTTTGTACTCTTGATTTAATGCATGTCTCCAAAATTCTATCATAATTAGTATCTACAAATCTAGATTAGTCTGCAGATAAGATATCATTTAAAAATAAATTTTGGGGCCTCCCTTGTGGCGCAGCAGTTGAGCGCTGGGTTGCGAAGCTGCCTGTGGCCTCTGGGGCGCTGGTTTGATCCCCGGCTGCTCCCCCACCACCGGAGGAGGGTCCCACATGGCGCACAGGCCTCTCCTGCTGCCCGCTGCTCCCCTCAGCAGTGTACTTTGGTCCTTCTGCCTGCTCTGCTCCCCTCTCTGGCTCTGGTGAATTCTCTCACCCTCCCGCGCTCCTGACTGTACCCAGTGCATGTGTAAACAAACAAACAAATAAAAAATAAATAAATAATAAATAACACATGCCTCTTTAAAAAATAAATAAATAAATATAAATTTTGTATGTTAGGCATCAACTGGTACATACATGTATTATCACATTAAATCTACCTACTAGGCCTATGGCCACAGACTTATTATGTCAACTTTCAAGATGAGAAAGTAAATCATAGATTTTGCCCAACTACTAACCAGTAAATAGAAGAACTGACACTCAAGCCTGAGGAGACTTCTACTTCTGGCTTCGAAACAGAGATACCAGCAAACCACTGCATCTACTGAAACTGCTGAGGGGGAGACAGAAATTACAAAGGCAACATATTTTGTTCAAGTGATCATGAAGTTGTGTAAGGTAAAGGAAGTAGAAGAATTACATTCCCAAGAGAACAGAGGCTTCCCTAGGCCACTAGAACCTCTAATTTCTTCCCTAGGGGGGCATTTCTTGAGTCCAGGCACAGGCTGGAGAGAATGCTTGCAGGATGCAGAAAAACTTCAAAGGAAAAAAAACAACAACAACAACAAAAAAAAACAGTGAGTTTCTGACAGCCATGGGGCTAAAAAGAGAGATTAGAATCAGGAGGGGGACCTTAACAGCTAGACTGACTTTCCCCACAGGATCTGCTGACTGCTGCAGAGGGAAGGGGCAGTGGGTACGGCCAGAAAGTGAGATCCCATTCAGTCTTGCAGTGCTTACATGACAGTAGTGTATATGGTGGTTTAATGTTCATTATTCATTCCTATTGTTGTATCATAATCCACTATGCAACCATAAACAAATTACTTTTCCCCCTACTTTCCAAGAACATTTTGGTGGATGCCGATTTTTGGTTATCACAAACGACAGTGTCACTGTCAACTTTCAACTTGCATTTCTTCTGGTAAGTGTGTAGACATACTTCTTTTAGGGATATAACCAGGTATAGAATTGTGGGCCATACAGATATACAGTCATTCCACCAAACAGCAGGAGGGACAAAGCATTAATATTGAACTTCGCTGTAGATTATCACTCACAGTGAGGCATAGCTAAGTTACAGCTATAAAGTTAACCCACACGGAGTGTGGGGGGCTTCGTGGAGAAAAGAAAATAGAAAAGAAAGAAGATGTAGAGGCCAGAAAAATACAGGCGGGGAAAGAGAAAGCTATCTATGAAGCTAGAGATCACATTAATTGTAGAAACAGAGAATAAGTGAAGAAATGGAGGTTTTGGAATACATCAATTCATACTGTGTGTGCTTTTTCCCCCCCAATCAGAGCAGAAAAACATATTTTTGGAATGATACCTTTGTCTACTTTGTGTGTATTTTTTTTTAAATTAGTTGGTGCCTTTGATGTATTGAATATGTTCTTTCAAGTGTGTTGACAGTCAAAGAGAATGTGCCTCTGAAATAATTCTTTATTTCAAGTATTAGAAGCAAACAAGATGTCAGAGTCTCTCCAAGACAGGAGAGAACAAGAAAAGCAGAGAGAGAAAAATATATACACGGGAAAGGCAAAAAGTTTTATAGAATTACTGATAGTAATCAGGAGCAGGGTATGCGTTCCCTTGCCTGATGCTGTAAACTGAAACTCCAACTTTGGGACTTCAACTTTGGCTTACTTTATGATGCATATATCAAAATAAGTTACTTTCAGGGCTGCCCTGGTGGCGCAGGCGGTTGAGCTCCTCACTGTGAAGCTGTCCACAGTGACAGCACAGGTTCTATCTGCAGCACAGGTTCGTTCCCAGCTGGCCGGAGAGAATCCCTCATGCCACGGCAGACCACTCCTGTCTCGCCCACTGCTCCCCTCAGCAGTGTGTTTTGTCACTCTGCCTGTTCTGTTCCCCACTCTGTCTCTGGTGAATCCTCTCACCCTCCCGCACATCTGCCCTGAGCCTGGTTCTTGTATAAATAAATAAAATCTTTTTTTAAAAAATAAGTTACTTTTTATTTTTTTCCAAATTTGGGTTCATACTATCTAGTGATATGTTGCTTCTGTACAGTTCTAGAATGTTAGATACTAGAGAAGATTGTAAAGATTATTCATTCTAAATATTCACTTTATATATGAGGAAGACTGAGCCCCACAAAAGGAACAGAACTCGCTGAGAGAGGCCAAACACGGTTTCTAGTTGCCTCTCCATCCTCACATTCCTCCGTAGCTCCAGCTGCTCTGCTATTTGGGACAGTGTATCTTCCCAACAGGATAGATACATAAGAGATAGCTGTTGATTAATTAATTTTCTATTGCATTGAAATTCACCTTGTCTTCTCCTGGTCCTAAGGAGGATGAACTCTTAAACAGTGGAGTAGAATCCAATGTTCTTCCTTTACTTACTAGGAGGAATTACCAAGAAACATAGCCAAATAAAACTATAAAATCAAAATAGAATTATATTCAACAAAGTTATAGATTTGAAATATCATGTAAACTTCATGTTAGAGACAAGAAAGTAAGTCCCAGAGAGTT